TTGGACGACGGGGCCCTCGGGCTTCTGAGTGATTTTTCGGAACGGGCCTCCAAGAGGGCTCGTGGGCGTGCGGCGCACGCGTCTCTTAAGCGGTTTCAAGAGTGGATGGTAGAAGAAAGCCCCCTAAGTGCTGTGCTTAAATCTCTGCGCAAGGCCACTTTTACTGCCGCGGAGATTGTTGTTCAGGGGGACAGGCCCTTCCACCCAAAGGACATCATCGATTCCAAAATCGAGCATTGGCAGCAGTTGTGGACCGCAGACGCGCTCGACGTAGCCAGTTTGCAGGATCTCTTTGGCACCGTCACGGCAGCAGCTGAATATGGTCCTCTTCCTCCTCTTTTGATTGCAGACATCAGGGAAACGTTGAGAAACATGAGAGGGAAGGCTGGGATGGGTATCGATCGTCTTTCCCCTCTCGATTTTGAACGGTTGCCAGATGTTGCGATCGCCGGGCTGCGCGCGCTTTACTCAGCCATTGAGGATTGTAAGACATGGCCCTGGCAGAATCTGTTACTGGTGGGGAGGTTGTTTGCCAAAAATCTTGGAAAAGATAAGGCGATTGGGCTTATAGCGATGCTTTACCGTGTCTGGAATCTTGCTCGAGAGCCCTGTGCTCGCGAATGGTCGTCGTCGCTCACATCATCCTGGGATGCTGCTTTCGCTGCTATCGCTGGAAACAGTGCACTCAAGGAACCATATCTCAGGGTCCTGGAGTCAGAGGCTGCAGTTCAGCTTGGAGCGACAGTCGGTCAGACCATACTCGACATCAAGAGTTTGTACGATCACATACAGCGGCCGCGTCTTATTTCTGCCGCGCTTCGGCTAGGGTATCCACCAGTGCTGTTGTACTTAGAGCTGCAGACTTGCCTCTCGCCACGGTTGGTCTCGCAGCTCGGCGCGCACTCGATCGCCTTCCAGCCGACACGCATGGTGGTGCAGGGTATGAGGAACGGCACGCGTTTCGCTCGATTCGTTAGGCTTTTCGTCATGCGCAAGATGTGTGTCGAACATGTTCATATGAGTCAACGTCTATGGATCGACGACCTCGACGGTTCGATTGTCGGCTCGGAGAAGGCAGTCAGCACTGAGTTGAAGTCCAGTATCCATGATGCTCATGGTTGGTTTTCGCGCCGAGGAGCTCACCTTGACCGCCAAGAGTGTAGTATTGTGCTCTAGTCACCGTGTCGCCAGGCAAATTTCAACTCAGCTAAAGAAGCTTGACATTCAAATCAAACCGGTGCTTCAGGCCGCCTATCTGGAAGTCGACCAAAAGGTTGGGAGGCGTCCTGCTCGGGCTACTCGAAGGCAACGGGTTGTCAAGGGCAATGTCCAGAATGCCAAGCTTAGGATGTTCGCATGGGCCTCGAAGCGGTATCTGGTGACTAAGAAGGTGGAACTCGGTGGGCCCCAGGCGGCCTCGACGTACGGGATGCAAATTTACGGCGTCTTTTGGACTCAACTTCTTTGTCTTCGGAGGCGCCTTGGAGCTGTCTCGGGCGCGGCCAAAAAGGCGCGTTGCTTAACCACTCTGTTGGATATTGGGATCCCTGGCTTCGACCCTGGGATCAGGCTCCCAGTCTCATGCGTTCGCGAATGGTTGAGGACATGGATTCACGCGCCACGTATACGCGCAGGGACCAGAAGTGCCTGGCTCAAAGTTCTTCCGAAGTTTCAGGGCCTCCAGCCCAAAGAGTATGCTGCGCAGATTCGTGGACCCATGTCCGCTGCCGTCGCACATCTGCAGGTGGACTGGGTTCCGCGCGCCTGACGCGTGGGAGGCTCCCGGCGCGGGGCATGGCACGGTGAGTGAGTGGCACCGCATGCCACCTCCATGCAGTTAGTTAACGTTGCCTTTCCTCCTGCCACCTACTTCTCTTTCCGCTCCTCATCCGCCTCCCACGATAGGGCGACGCAATCTATACATATCCACTGCTCCCTGGCCAGGCCCATCCTCAACCCCGCAGCGGTGTATATGCCACGCCCTCCTGGCTTGGCCAGGAGGGCGCATACACAGCTCCTGGGTTCAAGATGGGCATGGTCAGGGAGCAGTGGATATGTATAGATTTCGTCGCCCGATCATCCGCCTCCCACGAAGTGTTGCATCATCATCGCCCTCCTCATTGAGCGTCGCTTGATGGGAGGCGATAGCGGAAACAGGGGAAGAGAGGTGCACTGCTCCGGCCCTAAGAGGCCCGTTTTGGGGCCTGAAAGAGGGCCCCGTTTTGGGCCCTCAAAGGCGCCTTTTCTGCAGCCCGCTTCCCCCCTGCATCGCCCCCCATTGCGCTTAGGTCGGGCATGTCCTCCTACGGGCGGATTCTGAAGGGAAAAACTAAACTCGCCCCAAAAGCACTCGAGCATATTCGAAGTAGTAGAGAAACCGTTCCCGATGTTTTGACAATTTTCGAGTACTCCTCCTGTAGAAGGCATGTGCCCGACTTCACATTGCGCGACGCCAGACCTCCCCTTTCTCTCCTCCGCCCCGTGGTGCGTGGTGCTGGCGCCCTCCTGGTCCATTCTCCTCCCGACTCATCGCGCCCCGTCATCCTCCTGTTCGCTCTGCTGCTGCTGCGCCCCGGCTGGGCGGATTCTCGGGGCGCGCCCTGGGCGCCACCGCGGCCGACGATAGAACGACAGCCTGTCTGTGAACATACTAACGTTCGCAGCGTCTGGAATATACCACTATTTCGAGTCGAATCCGAGTGGCCTCCTCGTAACTATCTTGTCTCCACTCCGAATTCATCATCCCGGCTCCCCCCTCTCCTCGACATCCTGCCCCCGTTCCTCCCGTCATCCTCGCCTCTTCGTCTATGTTCATACCTCGTCACGTGTTGTCCTATATTTCCGAGACGCCCCACTCCATACCCCTTCGACAACCACCGCCTGCTGGAATATGTTTCGGCCTGCCGGCGGTTCCAAGACAACCGATGCCACGCCGAGAATGCGGCAAGATGCCCGGAAACCGCCCAGAGAAGTCCCCACGCTTGGGAACAACATGTCTCCCACAAGCCCCGAACAAATGCCCAAACAGTCTTCCGGCGAGGCCATCGAGGGGTCGAAAGAACAGGGAGCCATGCAAGGCGTGACAGTAAGAGAAGCAAGCCGACACGTCCGCCAATATGCTTCGATTGCTCAGCCGAGCCTGCTCGGGAGAGGTCGGTTAGCACCTGGCGCGCCAAACGGCGCCGAGACCCACGGCAAACTAAACCCCCAATGCGCCCCCAAGACGATTCTGTTCGGGACGTGGGGAGAGAAAGGAGCATGCCAAGGCGGACGGGGCTGCGGACAAAGAGGCGGTGCAAAAGACCCGCGCCAAAATCAAATGTGGCGCTGAACTGGAACGGAACCTACGATCAACGTCCACCGCCTGCGCTACTGTATTGATGCCGGCAGCGGGGGCTGCCGTAGGAAACCGGATTCCACGCGCATTTTGCAATCTGTCTGCGCAAACAGCATGGTCGCGCGCGGGCAGCCTATGCGATGATCCCCTTGTTCGCCGCGCGTGGGTAATCACAAACCAATGCCCCCATTCGGACCGACCATGCCAACATGATTCGGAGTCGGGGAGTGGAGGCCGTCATGCCATCACCGTTCGGTCAAGCGTTTCCCGCGTCCTGGTCGAACGGGAACACCGGCATCGAAGCGGTTGTGCGATGCTGCTTTGTTGGTTGTGGCGGTTTCGCTTCCACTGGTGTCGGGCGAGGGTGGGAGTTGGCCCGATTCACTGGCGCGCTCTAGCTGTCTGCATCATCTCCTACGTCTGTTGCATCTTGCACGCATCGGTACGAATGCCGAGCGGTGGCGACATGCAGACACATCGAACTCAGAAGACGATTTGGACAGAAACTATACGCTTGATAATTCGAGTGCGCCCTTCGCGAAGCAAGTCCGAATCGTGAGCGAACGCATATGATACCATCAGCGCAAACAAAAGAAACCAACTTCAAGTACATTTCTGTTTGCCCAGGACCCAGCTAAGCCTTGCAGCGCCGTGATCACACTTGTTATGAGACCATCGCCGAACAGATAAATCATCGCCAATCGCGGACAGAAGTGACATCAACGCAATGGGCAGAAATGCGTGGGAGGGGTCGGATGCCCGATCTGGCGCGGGCGCACCTGGCTTGCCCTGCCCCTTCTCCCGCCTCCCCCTTCTCCCGATCACAAGCTGTGGCATACGACCCAATTGAGGGATGAGAAAAACGGCCCTACCCTGGGTTACAAGTGCGTGGTCTGTAAACCTCCTGGGAACCCCCAAAGCCTAGAGCCGCCAGGACGCGGCACACCACGCAGGGTCTACCCTGTCGGCCCACAGGAGTTTCAGCGCACAGCGCCTCGTAAACCAGGGTGGGGGCGTTTTTTTTTTTATCCCATTGACCCATGTTACTGTATTATTACTACTACCACTATTATTACTTGTACTACTATTATTATTAGTACTATTATTTTTATATTAGTTCTACTATTATTATTGTTATTAGTTCCGTTATTACTATTATTTTCAGTATTACGATTATTATGTCATTATTCGTTTTAGTATGCCGCTCGAGGCCCATCCGTTTTAGAGCTCTCGAGACGCCCAGCACGTTGCGGTGAGCACGCTGCGTCAGGTGGCGATGCCAGCGTTCTGTTTGCGACGCGCGCGCGCGGAGCGGTCGCGGCGCCGGGCGGCGGCGCCCGACGCCTCTCCTCCTCCTGCTCCTGCTCCTCCTCCTCCTCCTCCTCCTCCTCCCGTTCCTCCTTTCGTTCATCCTCCTCCTCCTCCGCCCTTTCCTCCTCCTCCTCCTCCTCCTCCTCCTCCTCCTCCTCTTCTTCCTTCTCCTCCTCCTCCTCCTCCTCCTCCTCCTCCTCCTCCTCCAATTCGTCCTCCTCCTCCTCCTCCTTTTCCTCCTCCTCTCCTCCTCCTCCTCCCCTCCTCCCGATCCTCCCAGCCGAGTTCCTCCGCCCCCTCCCGGCCCGTGTCCCCTCCCCCCTCCCCCGCGGGAGGCAAGGCGGCACCGGGCCTGGCGGGGCTGGTTGTCCTGCCACCCCTTCTCCTGCCAGGCGGCGATGCACTCTGCCAGGTCCTGGGTCGGCCGCACGCAGGAGCGACCCCTCGGTCAGTGTGTAGGAAGGCACCAACTATACACCAACACCGATCCTGGCCAGGATCACCCTGGGCCCAGGATCGGTGTATACGCCCTCCTGCCTTGGGCAAGAAGGCATATACACCGATCATGGGCCCAGGGTGATCCTGGGCCAGGATCGGTGTTGGTGTATAGTTGGTGCCCTCCGAGTGTGGCCTTTGGTGCGCGGCCTCCCGGGGGCCAAACACGAGCGCGCAGGACGCTACCATCGCATCGCGTTCGGCGGGCGGGGGACCCCAATGAGCCCGCACCAAAGGTCACTCCGGCGAAGGGTCACTCTTTGCGTGCAGAGTCGACTGCTGGGCGGCAGCGGGGAGTCGGCACGCCGCGCCAGGCAGCGCCGCGAGAGGCGAGGGGGCCAGGAGGGGCGAAGAAGCGAACGAGCTGCCGTTCGCCGCGGGGGGCCGACGCGAAGGTGGGCGGCGGGCGTGCGCGGGCACGGTGGTCCTTCGGAAACATAGGACCCTGAGGGGGCATGCCGAGCAGAGCTCGGTGAGGGGAGGGGGTGGGGGGGGGCGAGCGGAGGGGAAGAGACGAGGATGGAGGACGGGGAATGGGGACGGGGAAAGGGGGGGTCGGAAAGGGGGAGGGAGGTGGAGGCGGAGCGGCAGTGGGGATGGAGGGCGATGAATTGGGCATGGAAGATCGGGGAGGCGTGGCTGGAGCAGAATGACCAGGACGAGAGAGCAGGAGGGCATGAGTAGAGGGCGATGGGAGCAAGATGGGGGATAGTAACAACGTACTTGGAGCCTTCGCAGCCCCTCAATCCACTCTCAGATGCCTCCAAGACCCAAGGTGCCCGATATGGCTTGTCAGACGGCTCTTGACTCTTGGAGGGTACCAACGCGTCCACGAGGTCTCAAGAACAGTTCGAGACTGAAGAGGCCCTAAGAAAGCCGAAAGAGAGGGACAGATGTCCCAAGAGTGAGCGCTGACACCCACGATACTTCAGCAGCGATGCGTGTGCGTGTTTGTCATCTCGGCTTATCGCGTCCACCCGCCTCCGAAAAAGAGGAGGAGAATGAGGAGGATTGAGGAGAAGGAGGAGGAGGAGGAAAAGGAGAAGGAGGATGGGAATCCTTCAGGAAGGCCCCTGGGCAGCCCAGCTTGCATCCAAACTGGTCCCAAGCTGGCCTCAAATGGCCCCGCTGGATTCTCAGAGGGTTGTCTTCTGATGACCCACTTCTCGCAATGACAGTGAATTCTTGTAGGGACGCATGAAGAGGGCCCTTGGAGGATAGGTTCACTGCAACATCGTTGATGAGTCGTGGGCTCACGCTGGCCCTCCTCCTCCTCCTCCTTCTTCTCCTCCTTCTTCTCCTTCTCCTCCTCCCCTTCCTTCTCCCCTTTCCCTTCTCCCTACGTGTCCGGACCGTTGCTTCTATTTAGTCGCTCGTTAGAACAAGGGGCTTTGTCCTGCTGGCGTAGTCCCCACTTCTGTCCTCCCGTTTTTTTTTTTTTTGTTTTCTTTTCTCTCTCTCTCTCTCTCTCCTCCTCAGCCGTTTGTGCTCAAGTTCGTAGGCCCAACGGGCCGAATTCGCCCTTTCAGGGTGGGCGGGCGGTGCCATAGCTGGGCCCGCTCCCGCTGGGCCGCCCCGCCCCCGCGGGCTTTTCCCGCGTGCTCCCCTCGCCCCAGTCGCCAGCTTAGTCGGGTCGGGCGAAGGGGGGGGATAGCAAAGGGGGGGTTTGAGAATCAGCTCGCGTAGCTGATTTTCCCGGCGCCTCCCGGCGCCGGAGGCGACTGTGTATCGAGGAATGGGCCCGGCGGTGAGGCCGAAACCAGCTGCATGCAGCAAATTTCGTAACCCCCCCTTTCCCAATCCCCCCCTTTCGCCGGGCCCGACTTAGGGGAGGGGCGGCCCGGGCCAGAGCGGGCCCGGCTCGGCGCTGCTGTGCCGAGGCGGCCCGGCGGTGGGCGCTGGGCACGCCTCCGGGCGGCAGCCGGGCGGTGGGCGCCAGCCAGCGCGCCAGCGGGGTTCCAGCGCCGCGGGAGCGCGGCGCGGCGGGGCGCTGCGCGCGGGGGCGCGCTGGCGCAGCGGCCCGCGGCGTGGAGCCCAGGGCACAGCGCCAGCGGGGCTCTGCTGAGGCGCCCCGGGGGTTCGCGCGCCAGCCAGGTCCCAGCGCCGCGGAGCGCGGCGTGCTGAGCCATGCCGGAGTGGCGGTGGTGCCCCTCGCGGGGGTGTTCTGTGGAGGGGGCTTGCCTCGCCGAGGAGCGGCGGCAAGCTTGGGCCTCTTCCGCAAGGCGGACCTCGCGGGCACCCCGGGGAGGCGGATGGGGGCGGAGCGCCCTGCCGGGGAGCAGCGCGCCGCGGAGGAGGAGCAGGCGCGGCGGGAGCACGAACTCGCTTTGAAGTCTGCTGCTGCTGAGGATGGGGCGGAGAGGCGAGCAGTGGAGGTTGAGGATCTCCAGTTGAGCCTTGGGTGTCTCTCCCAGGATGTGGAGCGCCCGAGGGTCGAGAACGAGCAGCTCCGGGCCCAGGCGGCCACCAGCTGCGTGATAGATGCCGAAACCTCGCCTGTGGCCGCCAAAATCCTGTAATTACGGCATCGCCGGGCGACCCAGCGGGAGGCTCTCGCGCCGGGTTGTGCTGCACGCCACACCTTGTGAAATGGTTGAGAAATCATGGGTGAAGAAATTCATGGTCTCGCGCAGGCTGGTTTCCTAAAGCTCATTAAGAAATGTCCAGGGTCTGGCCCACGACCCCAGGAAAGCATCAAATTTCAGACATTTCCCCAGGGTCTGGCCAGCGCCGGCGGTTTCTTAAGCCGCGTGTCTAGGACAAGAAATTTCGAGACCCTGGCTGCAAAGCTGCGTTTTCTTCAGCATCGAGCGAGGTGCATGTGCTTTGTGGAAATGGCGGAGCAGGACGCTTTCGTGCAGAACGTGATGCAGTCGATGCAGTCGGGGTACGATGTGGTGCGTACTGCTGGCCATGCGATGGCGTCCCTGGGCCGCCCCGACAGCAGCACCCCCAGCTACGGACTCCCCGGCAGCCGCGCCGACGACCATTTCGCAGCGAACGGCCGTCAGGACGGCCGTATTGGCATCCACCCCGACATCTGCGTCGATCGCGGCACCCGCGGAGGAGGAGGCGTCGGAGGAGGAGCAGTCAGAAGAGGAGCAGAGGAGGTTGAGGGGTCAAAGGGGAATCGGAGAGGAGGCGTCGTGGACTACGACCACCAGGACCTCCGGCGAGCCTGGGCCCACGACGACAGGGACCCCCGGTACGACGGGAACCACGGCGTGAAGCGCGGTGCCTCCCTGGCCGGGCTGCTGCTGACGCCGCGGGCTCCGGAGAGTCCCATGCACGGGCGGGCGAGGCGACGACGGGAACCAAGGCAGGGCGCCTGGCCCCCCCCCCCCCCCTCCCTCCTGGCCTGGCGGCGGCGAGAGCGCCGGCGAGGTAGCCCAGGCGATGGCAGAATTCGCCGGGACATCCGGATCCCGGCAGCACCTCCGCTGCCGCCGCCGCCGCCGACGACGCCACAGCAGCGCTGGTTGTGGCACCGACGGCCTCGCTCCCAGCTGTTCCAACGGCGCCGCCGCCTGCGAGGACCGAGCCGAGTGCGCCGCCGACGGAGCGGGCGGAGTGCCCGACGTTTCACGCGAGGGGGGACCGCGACGACCTGGAGCTCCAGCATGATCGGGACCACATCGACTGGGACCTCCAGTGCGACGGTGTCCACCGCGAGGGGGACAGCGGCTGTGACGAGGATCGCGACGACCGCGACCTCCATTGCACCAGGGACCACGACGGCTGGGACTTCCAGCACGATGGGGACTACAGCCAGGCGCTGGGCAAGGATGCGGGTGACCGCCCGAGTTTTGCCTACGGGAGCCGGGCCGGAGGTGCCTGTGACGACACGCGCGGAGCGCCTGACGTCTCGTGCGAGGGGGGCCGTGGTTGTGCCGAGGATCGCGCTGACCGGGGCCCCCAACACGACCGCGAGGATTCCGAGCCAGGGCTCGGGAGGCCGGTCGAGAGGAGCAGGAGCCATGGGCATCTTGACTTGCTGGGCTTCTGGCATGCCGCGTCGGAGGGGAAGGTCTTCGACCTGCTCCTCGCCTGCTCGATCGGCGTGGTCTGCTTCGTCGCCATCGTCCTCTAGGAGGCGGACACGCTCAGCTCGCTCTGGGAGACACGACTCTCATGCCGACTGTGCGCCTGCTGCTGCGGGCGCTGAAAGAGAGAACGTCGGGCACGTCATGCTGCTGTTGCGGGCTCAGGAGAGCCCCGCTGGGGAGCGAGGCGACGAGGAGATCCGGGGCAGGGCTCCGAGCCCCTCCCCTCCCTCCTGGCCTGGCAGTGGCGAGAGCTTCGACGAGGTAATTCAGGCGACAGCCGAGGCGGAGAAGGAGGAAGAGGAGGAGGCGGAGACGCCAGGAGAGGACGAGGAGGCTGAGGAGGCTGAGGACGCCGGCACACTCGCCCGCGCCTACGCTGGCACCAACGCCAGCGCCATCACCAGCACCGACGCCAGCCCAGACGCCAGCACGAACGCTTCTAACGAAGCCAGCTCGGAAGCCAACGCCAACGCCGACGTCGGCCCCGAGGCCAAGTCGGAGGAGGAGAGTAAGGAAGAGTTGGCGGAGGGGGCGAACACGCCAGGTGAGCCTGAAGAGGCTGACGACTCCGGTACCAACGCCCGCGCCTACGGCGGCACCAACGCCGGCGCATCCAGCAGCACCGACGCCAGCTCCGACGCCAGCATCATCGCCATCGCTGAAGCCAGCTCGGACGCCGACGCATGCGCCTACGCCGACCCCGAGCCCAGGGCTCGGGAGGAGAAGGAGGAGCAGTGGGAGGAAAGGGAAGAGGTGGCGAAGTCGCTAGGGGAGGACGATGAGGCCCAGGAGTCTGAGGACGTCAGCGCCCGCGCCTACGCTGGCACCAACGCCAGCGCCTCCCCCAGCGCCAACGCCAGTCCCGATGCCCGCACAAACGCTGCAGCTGACGCCAGATCGGACGCCAGCGTCTACGCTTGCACGGGCCCCACGGTCAAGGCTGAGGATGAGGAGGATGAGGCGAAAGCGCTGGGAGAGGGCGAGGAAGTTGAGGAGGCTGAGGACGCCGGCACCAACGTCTGCGCCTACGGCGGCGCCAACGCCAGCGCCTGCACCAGCCCCCACGCCAGCTCCGCCGCCAGCGGTGGCCAGCGCCAGCGGCGGGCGGTGCACAATCGCGTGGCCAGAATGGAGGCCAGTCCTGACAGCAGAAGCTCCAGGGAGGGGGCTGGCCAGCAGGGCCCCTGGCCGAGGAGCTCTTCGGAGGCTGGCGGAGGAGAGGAGACGCCGTCCGACGCTAGGGGAGCAGCAAGCCCCAGGCCGGAGGGGGCGGAGATGCCAGGAGATGACGAGGAGGCTGAGGAAGCTCAGGACGCTGGCACCCGCGCCTGTGCCTACGCCGGAACCAACGTCAGCGCCAACACCAGCACCGACGTCAGCTCCGACGCCAGCACCGAAGCTTCCACTGAAGCCAGCTCGGACGCCCACGCCTACACCGTCGCCGGCCCCGAGGCCAAGGCTGAGGAGGAGGAGGCGGAGAAGGCGGAGGAGGAGGAGGAGGAGGAGGAGGAGGAGGAGGAGGAGGAGGAGGAGGAGGAGGAGGAGAGGAAAGAGGAGGAGAGGAAGGAGGAGCAGCAGGAGGCGAACACGCCAGAGCAGTCGGAGGAGGCTGAGGACGCCGGCGCCAACGCCTGCTTTTACGGCGGCACCAATGAAGGGGCCCTGGGACACACAAATAAATACACACAAATCAAAGGGTTCCCCATATTTTCCTATATTTTCTGAGCTTTTGTCTTCCCCACCACTTCCCATATTTTCCCATGTTTTCCTGGGAGTGGACGATTCATTGTGTCTGTATGTTTTTTCCCCTCCTGAACCAATGCCGGCGCTTGCACCAGCATCAATCGCTACCTCTGACGCCAACTCGGACGCTGGTGCCTGTGCCTACGCCGGCCCCGAGCCCAAGGCTGGAGGAGGAGAAGGAGGAAGAGGAGGCGAAGACGCCAGAAGAGGACGAGGAGGCCCAGGAGACTGAAGACGCCAACGCCTGCGCCTACGCCGGCACCAACGCCAGCGCATGCCCGAGCGCCAACGCCAGCTCCAACACCAGCACCAACGCTGCCGCCGACGCCAGATCGTACGCCCACGAGGAGGAGGAGGATGAGGAGGAGGACGAGGCGAAGATGCCAGGCGCGGGCGAGGTTGCCGAGGAGGCTGAGGACGCTGGCACCAACGCCTGCGCCTACGGCGGCACCAACGCCAGCGCCTGCTCTGGCACCGACGTCAGCTCCGCCGCCAGCACCAACGCCACCGGTGACGCCAGCTCGGACAGTTGTGCCGACAGCGGCGCCGCCGTCGGCTGGGAGACCGGTGGTCAGCGCCAGCGGCGGGCGGCGCGCGAGCGCGCAGCCGAGATCGAGGCCAATCTTGACGGCAGAAGCTCCAGGGCGGCGGGGGCCAGCAGGGCCTCTGTCCGCGGAGCTCCTCGGAGGCGGGTGGAGGAGAGGAGGCATGCTCTGGGATAGCTCCGGGATAGCCCTCGGTTCTGTGGGGGGGGGGCCAGAACGGCCCCGAAGAGGTGGAGATACAGGCGGCCCCGTCCGTGAGCGGCGAGCGGCGCGTCGAGCTCCACGTACCGCGTGTGCACCCACACCGAGGAGGGCATCCTGGCGAAGCCAATGGCGTTCATCGTGGGCAGCGCCGAGGTGGGCATAAAGGCACAGGTGATCGAGTTCAGGCTGGCCGAGGCGGGCAAGCGGATCATCAGCGGTGGCACGGCGTCTACCTTCAAAAAGGCCGGTATCGCCTATGGCAGCACAGTCGGCAGCCCCGAGAAGACGAGCCTTGAGCCCGCGGAGGACATCTTGGACGGCTGGCTCTGCCTGCACAACGGCCCGAAGGCGGCCGAGGAGATCTGGGCTGCGCTGGCGGACCGCGTGACAAGCATCTTGTACGGCCTGATGGGCGTGGTCGAGAGCCCGCAGTCCAGCAAGGGCACCCACGACAGCGCGGAGTGCGTCGTCGAGCCCCGCTTCCTCGACAGCCACGCCGACTGCGGTGCCGACAGGCGCACTGACCGCCGCGCCGACGGCGGCACCGACAACCTCGCCGACCGCTGCGCCGACCGCAGCACTGACGGCCGCGCCGACGACGGCGCCCACAGCCTCGCCGACAGCTGCTCCGAGGGCTGCGCGGACTGCGGCACTGACAGCCGCGCCGACGGCGGCACTAACAATCTTGCCGACAGCTGCGCCGACGGCCATACCGACAGCGGCACTGAAAGCTGCGCGGACGGCGGCGCATATGGCGGCGCTGACAGATGCGCACCCGGCTGCGCCGACAGATGCGCCCTCCGCAGCACTTACGGCTGCTCCGACTACGGCGTCGACAACCTCGCCGACAGCTGCGCTGAGGGCCTCTCGGGCCGCGGCACTGACAGCTGCGCCGACTGCGATGCTGACGACCTCGCCGACAGCTCAGCCGACGGCCATGCTGACAGCGGCATCAGCAGCGGCGCGGACAGCGGCGCCGACGGCGGCACTGACAACCCCGCCGACAGCTGCGTCTACAGATGCACCGACTACGGCACCGACAGTCGCGACGCCAGGGTCACTACCCGCCGCGGCTACGGCGGCACCAGCAAGGCCCCCGACTGCTGCGACGACGACCACGCCGACAGCGACACCATCAGCCCCGTCGACAACTGCACTCACAGCGGCGCCGGCAGCGGCACCGACAGCGGCGCCGGCTGCGGCATCGGCGGCCTCACCGACAGCTGTGCCGATTGCCGCGCCGACCGCGGCATCGACAGCCGCGTTGACTGCGGCACATACATCTGCTTCGACAGCGGGGCCGACTGCGACATCCACAGCCGCTCCGACCGCGGCACGGCACGGGCAACCCCGCTGGCAGCTGCGCCGACGGCCGCGCCGGCTGCGACATCGGCAGCCGCGCCGACGGCGGCACCAGCAGCCTCGCCGACAGCTACCCCGACAGTCACGCTGACGACGGCAGCAGCGGCAGCACCGGCCTTGGAGCCGACTGCGGCACCAACAGCGGCGTCGACGGGGTGAACTTCAAGGTCGGGATCGTGGAGGGCGTCTCGGACGGCAGACTCGACCTGGACAACGGCCCGAAGGCGACCGAGGCGACCCATGCTGCGCTGGCGGACTGGTGGACGATCATCTGGTTCGACTCGATGGGCGTGCCCGAGAGCCTGCAGACCAGCAAGGGTACCCACGACATCGCGGAGTGCGGCACCGAGCTGGCGGAGAAGAAAGGCGCCCTCGGCCTCACCAGCGGCTGGGACTTCGCGCCTGCGACGCACGAGCCCGAGGTGATCGAGAAAAGCACGGAGGGGGGGGGGCAGCAAAGCACAAGGCGAGTATGGAGGACGAGGCCGTCGGCGACGTCGCAGGGGTGTGGGCGATAAATTTTTCGGTGTCTGGCTCCATGGGGGTTCCGAGCGACTGCACTGACGACGGCACCGACGACGAGCACCTGGGCGGTCCAACGACTGCATCGACCACGGCGCCGATGATGGCACCGATGAATTCGCCGAACGATGCACCAACAGCCTCGCCGACAGTTAAGACGACTGCAGCACCAGCAGCCGCGCCGACTGCAGCACCAGCGGCACCGACGGCAACGGCGACAGCATCGCGGACAGTGGCCCCGACAACTGCGCAAACTGCGGCGCCGACAGCCGCGCCAGCAGCTGCGCCGACGGCGGCACCAACAACTACGACGACGGCGGCACCCACAGCTGTGTCGACAGCGTCGTCGAGAAGGACTCCGACCGCCGCGCAGACCGCGGCGCCGACAGCCACGCCAGCAGCTGCGCCGACGACGGCGCCGACAGCTGCGCTGATGGCGGTACCAACAGCTCCGTCGGCAGCGTCGCCGACCGCGGCTCCGATCGCCGCGCAGACCGCGGCGCCGACAGCCGCGCCAGCAGCTGCGCCGACGACGGCGCCGACAGCTGCGCTGGCGGTGGCGCCGACAGCCGCGCTGACTGCGGCATCGACAGCGTTTCCAGCAGCTGTGCCGACAGCGGCGCCAACGAGGGCCCCAATGGGTACGCCGACAGCTGCGGCAACAGCCTCGCCGACAGTTGCGCCGACAGCGGCACCAGCAACTGCTCTGTCTGACGGCGGCGCCGACAGCCGTGTCGACTGCGGCACCGATAGCGTCGCCGGCAGCTGCGCCGGCAGCGGCGCCAACGAGGGGCCCGATGGGTGCGCCGACGGCAACGCCAACAACCTCGCCGACACTTGCGCCGACTGCGGCACCAGCAGCTGAGCCGGCTGCAGAACTGGCAGCCTTGTCGACTGCAGCGCCGACGGCGTCACCGACGGTTGCGCCGACAGCGGCGCCAACGAGGGGTCCGACCGCCTCGCCGACGGCTGCAACGACGGAGGCACCACCGAAGCCACCGACCGGCCCGCCAATTGCTACATCAGGTGTCAGCCCCTCCCAGCTGCTGCCAGCGGCGGCCCTGGCGGCCCCGGCGGCGGCCCTTGGCACCCCTGGCAGCGGCCCGGCCGCGCTAGGGCGCAGTTCCGACGACGTCCGCAGAGGCTCCGAGACGCCGGAAAGCCGCATCATGCCAAGTTGCCAAGACGCAGGGCGGCCAACATGCGACGCAGAAGCGACATGCGACGCAGACTCGACCGGCTTTTCCGCGCCAGGAAGCGCATAACGGCCAACGTACGGCGCAGAATCCACATGCGACGAGGAAAAGAATTCGGCATCATATGATACCCCCGCGGCGCCAAAAAGCCACCGCAAAAAAGATGCGACGCCGAAGAGCGCAACGCGGAAAAGCAAGTAATCGTAGTAGTAGTAGTAGTAGTAGTAGTAGTAGAAGTAGTAGTAGTAGTAGTAGTAGTAGTAGTAGTAGTAGTAGTAGTAGTGGTAGTGGTAGTAGTAGTAGTAGTAGCAGCACTAGTAGTAGTAGAAGTAGAAGTAGTAGTAGAAATAGTAGTATAAATAGAAGTAGTAGTAGTAGTAGTAGTAGTAGTAGTCGTAGTAGTAGTAGTCGTAGTAGTAGTTGTAGTAGTAGTAGTAGTAGTAGTAGTAGTAGTAGTAGTAGTAGTAGTAGTAGTAGTAGTAGTAATAGTAATAGAAGGGCTCATGGCTCGTAGGGCCCATGGGGCTCTTACGCCTCGCACGGCTCTTAGCGTTCATAGGGCCCTGCGATGACGATGAGGACGGATAACGACGATGACGATCTCAACGGCGATGTTGTCGGCGACGGCCGCGACCACCATGGCAGCTTTGACATCGACGCCCACGTCGACGACGTCACCGACAACAATTACGACCGCGACGACCTCGACGACCATAACGGCGACGTCGACGATGAGGCCGACTCTGACGATGACGACAGCGACCGCGACATCTCCCACGACGACGATGCGAGCAAGTTGAAGCACAAATTGTCGGTGCCATTCAGCATCATATGTCGCGGAGTCGTCTTTGGAACTTTCGACAGAAATCGCCGCAGAGCGCATCCGACATGCGACGAAGAATCGACTACATGCGACGCAGAATCGACATGCAACGCCAAAAGGCTACGTTTTCGCGCGACGCAGGAAAGCGGCATCATGGAAGGTCTGGTCGGCGGCAGCCTCAGCGGCCTTGGGCGGCCCCCAGGCGGCCCAGGGCGCTCACGATCTCCAGAGCGATGTTGGAGATCGTGGACGATTGGCAGCCCCCGGGGGGGCTCTTGGCGCCCCCGGCAGCGGCCCGGCCGCGCCGGGCGCAGTTTCGGCGGCGTCGGCGGCGGGCCGACTGCAGCCCTGGCAGCCGCGCCGACAGTGGCACCGACGGCTGCTCCAACTGCGCCATGGACGGCGGCGCTGACGGCGGCACCGACTGCCCGGCCGACATCTGCACCGACTGCGGCCCCGACAGCTGCGTCGACGGCGTCGCCGACAGCGGCTCGGAGCGCCGCGCCGACCGCGACTCAGACAGCTGCACCAACGGTTGCACCGACTGCGGCACCAACAGCAACACCGACGGCTACGCCGCCTACGAAACCGACAGTTGCGCCGACGGCGGCGCCGACAGCGGCGGTGGCAATCGCACCGACAGGCGCGCCGACGGTTGCGCTGACGTCTGCGCCGACAACTGCGCCGACTGCCGCTCCAGCGGCTGTGCCGGCAGCGGTGTCGACCTCCACGCCAACAGGTACGTCAAGGATGGCACCGGCTGGCTCCTCGGCAGACTCGCCGAGTGCGGCATCGACCTCGGCGCCAGCAGCTACGCCGACGGCCATGCTGGCAGCGGCACATACAGCCGCGCAGACGGCGTCGCCGATAGCTGCGCCGACTGCTGCTTCGACCGCTTCGTCAACTGAGACGTCGACAATTGCACTGACTGCGCCATCAAGAGCCTCGACGACAGCCGTGTCAGCTGCGGTGCCGACAGCTGCGCCAATAGCTGCACCCCCGGCATCTCTTATCCTCGCGGCGACGGGCGCGCCGACGGCGACGCCGATCGCTGCGAAGGCGGAGGAGGCAAGGACGGCCGCGAGGGCCGAGCGGGCAGAGGAGGCTGAGAAGGTAGAGGAGGTCAGGAGAGCGGAGGTGGCCCTGAAGGCCGCGGAGGCAGACAAGGCTGAGGAGGCCAGGGCAATCGCGACGGAGGAGGTCGTGAAGGCGGATGAGGCCAGAGAAGCAGAGGAGGCCAAGAGGTCAGAAGAGGCCAGGGAGGCTGAGGAGGTTAAGAGGGCCGAGGAAGCCAGGAAGGCTGCGAACAACGAGGCCGAGAAGGCAGAGGAGGCCGGGAAGGCCGTGGGGGCCAGGAAGGTTGCGGAGGCCAAGAGGGGTGAGGAGGCTAGGAAGGTCGAGAAGGCCAGGAAGGCGGAGGATACCATGAGGGCTGCGGAGGCCAAGAAGCCAGAGGAGGCCAGGGAGGCCGAAGAGGCGTGGACGGCCGTCGAGTCCAAGAGGTCGGAGGGAGCCAGAGCGGCGGAGGAGGCTAAGAAAGCCGTGGAGGCCAGGCCGACAACGACGCCGACGGCCTCGCTGACAGAGGCCCCTGCGGCGGCACCGACGGCTGCGCTGGCTGCGGCACCAACGATGGCGCCCTGTGGCGCTCTGCCAGCTGCGCCGCCAGCAGCTGCGCAGCTGGCGAAACCGCCAGCTGCGCCGACAGCAGCACCGACAGCGGCGCCGACACCAGCGCCGACGGGCGCGCCGAGGAGGGCACCGACGGCGGCAAAGACGGCGGCGCCGACGGCAGCGCCGACAGGCTCGCCGACAGCCGCACTGACGGCCGCGCCGACTACGGTGCCAACAGCGGCACCGACTGCGGCATTGACTACCTCGCCGTCTGTTTCGCCGACGGCGGTGAGGACGGCGGCGCCGACAGCAGCACGTACGGGGACACCGACCAGTTCGCCGACAACGGCGCCGTCATCGGCACCAACGAGGACACGGACAAGGTCCTCAGCAACGGCGCTGACGATCGTGCCGATTTCGACACAGACAGCCGCGCCCACCGCGGCACCGACAGCTGCGCCGTCTACAGCGCCGGCAGCCGCGCAGACGATGGCATCGACTGTCTCCCCGAGGGGTTCGCTGGTTTCGGCACCGATCGTGGCGACCACAGCTGCGCCGCCAGCCATGCCGACAGCGGCACCCGCAGCCGCGCAGACGGCGGCACCAACAGCCGCGTCGACGGCGGCACCAACAGCCGCGTCGGCTGCGGCACGGGCGGCTGTACCGGCAGCGACCCCAACAACTGCGCCGACCGCGGCACAGGCCGTCTCGCCGACAACACCGCCGACAGCGGCGACGACACCTGCGCCGACTCTGGCACCGACATCTGCGCTGGCAGCGCCGCCCACAGCGGTTCCGGCAGCTGCGCCGACTGCGGCACAGACAGCTGCATCTGCAGCCTCGACACCGACAGCTGCGCTGGTAAGGGCACAGACCGCCTCGCCGGAGGCCGCGCCGACGGCGACGCCAACAGCTGCGCCGACCGCGGCACCGGCAGCCGCGCAGACAGCTTCGCCGGCAGCGGCTCCGACCTTCGCGCTGACCGCTGTGACGACGGCCGCACGGACAGCTGCGCCCATTGCGGCGCCGACGGCTTCGCCGACAGCGCCGACGACGGCTGCCCCGACGTCCGCGCCGATCGCTACACCGACCGCTGTGCTGACGGCTGGGCCGACTTCGGCCCCGACCGTTGCGCAGACCGAGGCACGGACCGCCTCGTCTACAGCATCGCGGGCGGCCGCGCCGTCCGCTCTCCTGGCGGGGAGGCGACCGCCAGCGAGGCGGAGGCAATCGGAGCGGCCACTACAGCCCGGACGACTGATGAAGTGTGGGACGTGGAGTTTGATGACACGACGGCAGAGACGACCGGAGCCTCTACCATGTGTCCCACGGGGGCGACGCCAGCACCAACGCCGACGCCTACGCCAGCACCGACGCCAGCGCCTACATCAGCACCGACTCCAGCACCAACGCGGGCGCCTCCGGTGGCGCTAATGAATGCCATCGCCTACGCCCGCATCGAGGCCAGCACCGAAGCCAGCACCAACGCCTACGCCTACGCCAGCACTACCAGCGGCGCCTACGCCAGCGCCGACGCAAGCGCTTACATCGGCACCGACGCCAGCACCAACACCAACACCAACGCCTGCGCCGGCGCCAGCATCAACACCTGCGCCTACGACGGCCACAACGCCTGCGCCTACTACATCGACCGCTTCGCAGACAGCTGCGCCGGAAGCGGCTCCGTCCGCCTCGACGACAGCGGCGCCGACAGTGGCGCCGATTGCGGCACCAGCAGCCGCGCCGACTACGGTACCGACAATTGCTTTGAGGACGAGAGCGTCTTGCGCCGCTAGTCTGGCGCGCGTGGAGCTCGACGCAGAATTGTGCTCAGACGAGCTCCCGTGCAATGCGACCGGGAGTGCGGGATTCCAATCGCCCTCTGGGTGAAAAGTTGTTGCCTTTACCTTCAACAACCTGTGCGGGCTGGTCCTGCCCCAGGCAGTCGGCGCCTTCGTGGGCAGGCAAGTCTGCAAGACCATGCACGGGGTGATTCGCATTTTGACCAGGTGGACTCTCTTCTATGTCATGGCCACCGTCGGTTGCGTGTTCACGGCCGACGAGAGGGACGTGGCGCAATATGGGTGGAATCACTTGGTCACTACATTATGACCGCAGCAATGTTCCAACGCCGTGGTTCATAACGCCCATCGATGGGAGGTAAACCGATCATGCCTTCTTGATGGCCCACTTCGCTGCTCCGATGGGCGTTGGGGGACCTGTTCATCATGCTCGAGGGCGCCGACTTGCGGGGCACATGGGCGCTCAGCAAGGTTCGGATTCCTGCCATCTGCGACGGCTTGGACTCCATCCTGCTCACGATACCGCTGCAGATCAAGTGGGAGCTGTTGGTGGTTGTAGGCCTTCGGGCCGACTCGGTCAGCTGGGTGGGGTCTGTCGGTAAGCTCAGCGGCGTCGGCACGTCTATGGAGGCCGAGCTCATCAGGGCCAGAGGCGAGGAGTGCGGAGGGGCCACTGCGGACCAGAGGCCGAGGAGGCGGGGAGGATCGCCGACGGACTCAGGCCGCGGCTGCCGAGGCCAGGGGCGCGGAGTGCAGGGGGGCCACTTCGGGCCTGAGGCCGTGGGGAGGCGGCCGCGCGAGTGGCCAGCAGGAGTGAGGAGGCGCCGGATGGCGCGGAGGCAGGAGGGCCCGGGGGCGGCTCAGGGCGACGCAGGGGTGCGCAGCGTCGGCGGCCTGGCGCATCCTCCTCCTGCTGGCCACTCGCGGGCCGGACGAAAGGAGGAGGAGGAGGAGGAGGAGGAGGAGGAGGAGGAGGAGGAGGAGGAGGAGGAGGAGGAGGAGAGGGAGGAAGGAGGAGGAGGAGAGGGAGGAGGAGGAGGAGGAGGAGGAGGAGGAGGAGGAGGAGGAGGGCAGTGGGGGTTGCGCCAGAGCGAGCCCACTGTGGGGGCGGGCTGGGGCCCGCGGCCCCCAGCGAGAGCCGGGGGACGAGCAGCCGGCGCATGTGCGCCGCGAGCACGGGAGGGTGCCAGGGCAGCCAGCGAGGGCTGGCCTCGCTGCAGCCAGAGCTCGCGCCATCCTGTGGAGGAATGGCGCCCGGTGGCACGCGTACTAAAACAGGGCTAGGCTCGGGATAAATCGCTCCAGAGCGTTCCGGAGCGCTCTCAGAGCGTTCCGGAGCGCTCTCAGAGCGTTCCGGAACGCTCTGGAGCGGCCGCGGCGCCCAATACATCCGCCAAACCCGCCGATTCTCAGAGATTTCGAGTTATCCCGATCCGATTTTGTCCCGATCTTCGTGTCGTTTTACGTACTATCGCATGAGACTCAGGAAAAAGAGGGGTACAGCACTGTCACCGGTTGCGTCTGAGGCGTGTGAGGCCTTCGGCGTAATTCGCTTCCCCAAACTGCGTTGCTGTCCTCCCTCGCTCTGGGCCCCTTTGGGGCCCGCCTTCCGTGTCGGGCCCGGGGCCCAGGGCCCTGGCGGGGCTCCTTTCCCGCTTGTCCTCTTGCCTCTTGCTGTTTAGGGTATCTTGGGGTGCAGCTTAGCTGCGCAATATAGCACCGTTGTGTATAAGAAATCACACCGCTGTGTGCTATGAATGATCTACATGTGGCCTGAATGGCTTGGCTTCTTTTCTCAATGCAAGCGCTGTCCGGGAAGGGCCTGTAGGCCGCGATCCGCACGTTCCCGAGGGCGAAGCCTCGAGGGCAAAACCCGAAAGCCATATTCTTTCTACCCCTCCCCTCTGCCTCCACTCTCCCCCTTCCTCACTATCTCCCCCTCCCCCTTCGCCTCGCCCCTTCTCCCTCCTGCTCTCCCCCATCCCTCTCTTCGTCTTCTCCTCCTCCTCCTCCTCCTCCTCCTCCTCCTCCTCCTCCTCCTCCTCCTCCCCTCCTCTTTGTTATCCTCCTGCTTCCTCGCCCCTCTCCCGGCCCAAAGCGCCGAGGAGCTCCTCCTCGAGGTCCAGATCCTCCTGGTTGACGTAGCCCTCTGGGTTGGCGCTCCCCAGCCCCGAGGAGACCCGGTTCGGCCACGGGGTCGGCTCTGGATCGCCGTGGCGCCACTGGGCGGGGGCGGGGGAGAAGGAGGAGAAGGACGATTACAGTGCGGGCGCGGCCGCAAGAAACCCTCGCAAGAAACCCAACCCTGAGAACCCGTGCGCGAGGTGCACCTGAGGGGAAACCTGGAGCACCCTGAAAGCAGCAGTTCCTTCAACGGCTGGAGGAAGTCACCGCGCAGCGCGAGGAGCGAAGAAACCCAGGATACCCTGACGAGACGAAGAGAAGCGGGTCCTACGCGATATTACGTATTGACCTTACACAGCGACTTACGCGGGCGGCCAGCGCGGCACACCACAATGACGACGAGGGCGCTTCCGCGCGACCTTACGCGGGCAGCTTACGCGCCAATGTCGGCGAAGACGACGTGACAGACCCGGCGGTGACCTCGAAATCCGCAAAGACCTCACCGCAGGGTCCTTCACCACACGGCCTTTGGGGCCTCGGAGGCATCAAAATCGCCCGAGACATCCTCAAAGAACGACCCGAGTCCCACAACCCGTGCGGTGACCCCGAATGCCCACCGACTCACTCACCACACGGCGCGGTCACCACACCATTTGTGGTCCCCCGAACAGCATGAGAGAGGAGGAGCCACGAGGAGCAGTGGGACACACAGATAAACAGACACGCATTAAGATGCTTTTCCGTTCGTCGTGAACGTCGTCGTCGCCGTCGTCGCCGTCGTCGTCGTCGTCGCCGTCGTCGTCGTCGTCGTCGCCGTCGTCGTCGTCATCGTCGTCGATGCTCTTCCGTTCGTCGTCGTCGTCGTCGTCGTCGTCGACGTCGTCGTCGTCGTCGTCGTCGTCGTCGTCGTCGTCGCCCTCCCCTCAGGCGCGCCGCCAGCCACAGCGAAACCAAAGCGAAATCGAGCAACGTCGTTGCTGAGTCGAAGGCAGAGCGAAATTGAGCAACGTCGTAGCTGAGTCGAAGGGAAGCCCCTTCCCTTTGATCCCTTCCCCGCCGGGGGGGGGGGGTCCCGGGGGGGGTCCCGGGGGAGGGGGTCCCGGGGGGGGGTCCCGGGGAGGGGTCCCGGGGAGGGGGGGGGGGCAGATACGCATCCCCCCCCGGGATGTCCCGGGACCTAGAAAAGCCACCAGACTGGCCAAGAGTGCCCCAAGAGGCTTCCAAGACGGCTCCAGAGGGCCCCGAATCGCCGAACTATCGGTCGAAGACGCCAAAGTAGTCTCCAGACGGCCCAAGAGATTGCCAAGACGCTCCAAGAAGTCTCCAAGAGCCCTCCCAAGAAGGCGCGAAGAGGGACAAATCAATGATTTCCTTACAGTTTTTGACAGATTTTGGCGTTCTCGCCGTTTCAACTTGCCGACGCTCCAAGACGGCCCCAGATGCCCCCAAGATTGCCCCAAGATAGCCCAAGAGGCCTCAAGAGAGCCCCAAAATGACCCAAGAGAGCCTCAAGACCGCCCAAGATGCCTCCAAGATGGCCCCAGAGGCTCCCCAAACGGCTCCAACAGGGTGCCCAGACAGGGGGCCCGACGAGCCCTCGGCGACAGAGGCTCCCAGGAAGCCCCAAGATGCCCCCAAGAGGCCACCACGAGACCCCCAAGAGGCCCCCAGGAAGCCCCAAGAGGCCCCCCCCGCCACATTAGAGAACGCATGGGTCGCCCTCCAGGGTCGGCGGCACCGGCCGTAAGGCCTTCGCAATAGACACGCATTCCAGGATTCCCAATCTTCTCATATGTTTTCTGGATTTTCGTCTTCCCCCCACTTCCCATAACTTTTCCTGGGGATCGACAACTCATTTCGTCTGTGTGATTTTCCCCCTCCTGCGAGGATGAGGAGTGATGGATCCGTGGTCATTTGGGCTCCAGCGTGGCGTGGAAGGCTCAAGGCGTGCGGAGCACATGGAGCACGCGACTGGGCTAGGCACCCGCGCCCGTGCGAGTAAGGTCCTTCGCGCGCGCGGCCGTTGCCGCATGCCGTGGCCCCAGCGCAGATCGGCGCTATCTCACCGATTCCTAGACGCTATCGACGCTAGCCGACGCCAAAGGCGGAATTAGCAGGGCCCGCCAGGCTCCCATGAGTTGCTACTGCAGACATGCATGATGGCACGCGGCGGCGGCGAACAATGCTCACGACGGTCAGTGAGGACATGCATGATTAGAAGAGGAAAGGAGCGCATAAACATAAACTTTTGGCGCTCCGCACGGATTTCTTGGATCTGCGCTGGACCCCCCTCCCTGGCGCGCGCAGCGCGCCAGGGGCGACGCCGGAGGCGCTGCGGGGGAGGCCACAACGCGGATCCAAGAAATCCGCGCGGAGCGCCAAAAGTTTCTGTTTGTGGCGTTGTTGTTTTCGTCTTCGATCCACGCCGCCGGACAGTCCTTCCGGGCGAAGGCGCTCGCGGAATGGCGAGCGGGCAACGGCTGGTGCCCGGGAGCAGCCTGACCTGCCGGCACCCCCCCGAGGCGCGCAGCGCCCCCAAGGGGAAGGCCGGCAGGAGCGGCGCGGGAGCGACGGCCTCTATAGCGAGCTTCCCTGCGCTCGAGGCTGGCTCTTCTCGGCGGTGGACAAACCTCCCTTTAGTAAGCCTCCCTTTAGCGAAAACAACCTGGGACCGAAACCGACGGACCTGGACCCGCAAAAATAGCGGCCGCGACGCCCTCTCGAAAACCGAAAACGGACAATTTACTAATCGACGCGTCAGGGTAGGAGGTCTGTCCACCCCCGATCTTCCTGGGAGGGAGGAGGTGAGGGTCTCCTTCGCGGTCCTGCTCGATCCTGCCACGAGCGCCCGTTCGGCCAAGGGAGCATGGAGGAGGGCGAGCAACGGGCTGCGACCCACAAGGACGAGGGGAGAGGGGGGAGGAGGGAGAAGGCAAGCACGGGCAAGAAGGAGAAGAGCGACGACGAGCGTTGAACGAGAAGAGGAAGATGAGGGGGGGCAAGGCACAGAAGGGGAAGGGCGAGGACGAGTAGCAGGAGCAAGATGAGCGCCATGATAACAATACTGTTAATGTCGATGGGAAGGATGAGAGGGGGGGGGACGAGGGAGAGGAGGAGAAGGCAGGGGGGGAGGGCAGAGGAAGACGAGGACGCGGAGGAAGATGATGATGAGGACGGGGAGGACAACGCGACGGGTGGTGACAATGAGGAGGCGGAGCAGGAGAGGGGGGCGGGGGCACAGAGGAGAAGCATCCGAGTGACAACAGAGCAAATTGGAGAACACCTCGCCGATGGCCCCCATCACAGAGGGACCGCGAAGATGTCGGGGATGATGATGATGACGATGACGATGACGATGATGATGATGATGATGATGATGATGATGATGAGGAGGAGGAGGAGGAGGAGGAGGAGGAGGAGGAGGAGGAGGAGGAGGAGGAGAAGACAGCGCAGATCCTATGCCGTGCTGGGCGCTCAGATTACGGGCCTCCTGGGACGGATGGGGGCCACTGCGCCG